AGTAATTTATACATATAAAGCCAACTCGACCTAGCATTTCCTTCCAGATTTGTGTCATATGGTATCCATTTGACAGGAAAAAAGCTGATTAATAATAATAGTAATTAATACCAAAGCATGTATTATCTGCTAGACAAAATTGTATTTATTTATTTTTTGGTGGTGGAACTTGAACTCTGGGATTGGGTGCTGTCCCTCAACTCTTCAGCTCAAGGCTAGAGCTCTACCACTAGAGCCACAGCACCACTTCCAGTTTTCTGAGTGGTTTATTGGGAGGTAAGAGTCTCATGGACTTTCCTGCCCGGGCTGGCTTTGAATCATGATCCTCAGATCTCAGCCTCCTAAGTAGCTAGGATTACAGGCGTGAGCCACTGGCGCCCAGCTTGTAATTCTGAATGATAATTCTTAACATCGATTTACAAATAGGATCTTTATATATAATAGATCAATGGGGAAATGCTAGTGCTATATTCATCTTACAACTGGAATAAAAAGCGTAAGAGACTAAGAGGGCCGTGTGTAGTCACATATCCTTGCATGCTGGAACTGGGTTGTATTCAGATGTGACACTCATCTTTGAAATTTTCCTTTTGGCATGTGTTCCTATACCAAGTAAAACTGAGTGTTTTCTCTTTGAGTTACCTTGCCAGGGTTCTTAGGTCTCTGTACAAAGCTAAATTGTGGAGATCCATTCAACTGTGTCCGGTAGGAAGATCTAGGATGAGCCAGGCAACAGTGGCTCACACCTGCACTTGTAGCTACTTAGGAGGCTGAGATCTGGAGGACTGTTTTCAGGCTTGCACATGAAAGTTTGCTAGATTCCATCTCCAGAATAACCAGGGGGGAAAAAAACCCACACCTGAAAACAGCAAAAAATAAAAAACAAAAAAATCCCACATGACTGGAAGCATGGCTCAAGTGAAGAACTCCTGCCTGGCAAGCGTGCAGCCCATGAGAATGCTCCCGTTGGGGCTTCCCTGTCGTCAGGTGGTTGGGAAGAACGCTGGTGGCAGGTCTTGCCTTGACTTTCACTCTGCACCTCACAGGCTCCTCTAAGCCACAGGCTTCCACACCCTTCAGCACCACCCATTAGGAAGCTCATCCCTCACTCTTATAGGATTTAAGTCTTAGGTTGGTTCTTTAGGGGGTTGTAGGCAGAAATAAAACGTGACTCATTTGCCATAATTAGGATCTTGGTACTTTTGTTTCTATTTTTAATGGGATTAGATCCAGAGAATTCAAGTTATTAATGACAAACCTCATGGGTAAGTTAACCAAATAAGAATGACAAACCAAAATTTCCCTGGAGCAAAGTTGCACAAAAACTTGGCAAGGTTGGGAGCAAAGTTTGTACAACAGTTGAATAATGTGGTGAACCAGCTGTCTTCTCTCTCCAAATGAGCAACCAGTCCCTGGATGAGACATATGCTGAGCTAAATTGGGACATAATAGGCATTTAAGTGACATAAGATTAATACCTGGACTTGGACAGGATCTTTCAATTTATTGTTCATTTACCCAAGAATCTTTCTTCAGTTAGATAAAATAATGTCTATGACACTGAAAGTCAGTATGTGCTGATAACAGGATTCTTGAATTTTGGTCAGGTAAAGTCAATGGTTTTGTTTTCCCAATTTTTTTTAGGTGCTTTTTAGTTGGGAACTAGTTACTATTGGAAATAATGAGTGACAAAAATAATTTAAAAATCAGGTCCATATATTCACAACTCTATTGAGATTTTCATAGTGACCATATTCTGTAGCATAATCCAAAATATTACAATGATGTTAGGCAAACAGATGAAATAAATTTCTTCTCTAGAGAAAGTCTGGGGCACAAAAATGAATATAAATCACATCTTCTCTTAGAAAAACTATGACTGTGTGATAGTGTATTTCAATGGGAGATTAATGGGTATATTAGAAATGTCGGCAAGTTAAGACTATGGGCCTATAATCACCTTAAGCAAACAAACATGAGAGAATCACCTTAAGAAACTGGATGATGCCTTCCTAGTGAGGCAGGAACAGATGGAGAAGAATATCCAGTGCCATCCGACTGTCCTCTCCATCTCCTAATTTGCCCTCCAACCTTGGGCTTTCTAAGTCCTGGCAAAGATGGTGCCTAGACACTCCAGACACCATTACCCTTCTGCTTACAGATTCCAATGGAAACAAATACCACCATCAGTCGTCAACCAGGCTTAACCTATGGTCTATCCTGGATCACTCTTACAGAAGAATAATGGAAGTGAGAAAGGAAAAAAAAAAAAAAAGAGAGACTCAAACGTCCTGCTACTGATCTAAATAAGAGAATGTTTATTTACCTCAGAAAATTGTCTGGGCAGTTTCTGGAATTAGGAACTATAAAACATTTTCTTAAATCTTACTTGAAAGGAGATGAAAGCATGTGTCACCTCCAGAATGTACTTCCTGCTGTACTGAGGTATTACTGTAGGTAACCCAGAGGGCAGCGGGGGTGGGATGGTGACCAGAGAGCAACTGTCTGGGTTCTCTAGGGACCAGAATATCTGAACCCCAAATAGAAACTCCTACTCTGGCATATAGTCTGACAAGGATACAGAATATTTTAAGTAGCAACTTAAAACCTACTCTCCCAGAAAACTTCCCCAGCTTGTTTTTCTAACAGAGACATTTCTAGGCATGTCAGTACATTTACAAGAGAAAGCTTGATTCTTATACACCTTATTTCCCTTTAAATGCAAAACTTTATCCTGAGAGTCAATGTTCTTGGTAAAACAGATCTGATTCTGGAAATCAGAACCAAAAATACCACTGAAACGAGCTATTTCTATTTTATTTCTGGTGGCAAATAATTATTTCCATTGTTTTGCTTCTTAGAGTTTAGATCAGTGAAATAAACGAAAGTTATTTGTCATTATTTCATGTTGTGATAATGAAAATGTTCTCAATAAAGATTCTTATTTATTCCTTCATGAAGACTAAGTACCAGTTTGTGGGCCAGGCTAAAGATGCTGAGAGGAGTTAAGATACAGCTTCTAGTCTACAGTTCCTGTTCTCATTGGGAATGTAGGAAGTGCTGTGATTTCAATGTTTTGCCTGCTATGATTCAGGGTGAAACTTAATCTCAATGCAACAGTTGTAAGAGGTGTGGTCTTTAGGACATGAGGACTCGGCCTGCCTCCATGGGATTGTCTCCTTTGTAAAAAGGGTAGAGAGGGAGCTCACCGTTTTTGTGCCCCTTTCATCCCTTCCACCATGTAGGGGTTTAATTGTCCGTCCTTCCTGAGGGTACATCAGCAAGGTACCCTTTCTCTAGAATCCAACCCTGTCATGCCTTGATGGTGAAATTCCCACCCTTCACAACTATGCACAAATTAATTTATTGGTTCTTATAAATTACCCCATCTGTGGTGTTTCGCTATAGCTTTGCACATGTCCTGAGACAGGATAAAACAAGTAATACAGGTGCTTTGAAAACAGAAGACACAAAGACAGACCAAGGACAGAGGGATGAAGGTAATAGTCCCAGTCAAGAAGAATGTGAGTCCTCAACTTGTCTAGCATGTGTCCTGTAATAGTTCCAGCCTTCCTTGGGTCCACTGCTACTCTCAGAACTAGATGTCTTGTCCTGAGCTAAAGAATTTCACTTCTTGGCTTCCTGTCATAGATCACAGGCATCAGACTCAGCATACTGAGTCCAGTGAAGCCTGAGACAGGAATGCCTTGCACAAGTCGAACTAGACATGAGAACAAGAGCAGCTGATGTGGAGTCACTGAAGGGTGATCTGGAACACATTGCCCAGCAATAGCTTAAGGGGAATTTTATACAGTGCTTTTACTGCATTTCCACTGGGGCCCATCACATGAGATAAAGTGTGGACCTTTGCACTAATGCCAGCACTCAGAAAGTTTCTGATTTTAGAGCATTTCAGATTTTGCATTTTTTTGGTTACCAGTGATTGACCTGAATGTGTTGATATGGTGTTTGCACTTTACGCCGATGTCCTGCAACAATGTCATGAGGCAGATGCTGTTGTTCCACAGGTTACCTAAAAAGGAGCTGTGAAGAAAGGCTGAGAGGCACCCGACTAAGCTGTAGCGCTAAGAAGAGGATCTGAGGCTGCCTGACCCAACACTGTGTTCTCTCCCCTCTACTCACAAGGGCACCAGACTTTCTGTTGATTAGATACAGACAGAGATAACACTACGTGCAAAATGCAAGTTATCAAGTCCCTACACCTCCAGCAACCATTATTTAGGTTCAGTTTTTGCCCCAACAGGAGAGCAAACATTTTGGGTTTGAGGTCCTTAACAAATGTTTGCCATTTTGTACTTCAAATGAGAAAGTTTAAATGTCTATACATCAGGTCTTTGCAGCAAAGCTGATTTTAAGTAAAAGTGAGAGGCAGATCCATTCTGTCTTTGTACAAATATTAGCTGTGGGATTGATGAGGGTGTGAGGCACAAGCTTTCCTAAGAAAGAAAGGCTATGCTCCAGGTTCTCCATGGTAAGGCTTAAAAGCAAAATGGCACACCAAAGAGTCTTGCAGGAAACTGACAGAGGCCCAACTGAAAATGGAAAAGAATTTGTTATGTCGTAAAACCTAGAAGGGATTAAGATCTAAACCATGTGATAGGCAAATACTCAGGTCTTAAGAAACAACTGGAGGTGGGAGGATTAGGGGACTCCTCAGTGGAAGAACACTTACCTGGAAAGTGCAAGGCCCTAAGTCAGTCCTCAGTTCTGCAGAAAATAAAAATAAAAACAAGAAAGAAAGAAAAAGCCAGGCGCTGGTGGCTCACATCTGTAATTTTGGCTACTCAGGAGGCTGAGGTCTGAGGATTGCAGTTCAAAGCCAGCTTGGGCAGGAAAGTCCCAAGAGACTCTTATCTCCAATAAACCACCAGAAAATCATAAGTTACGCTATGGCTCAAAGTGGTAGAGCACTAAGAGCTCAGGGACAGCACTGAGAGCTCAGGGACAAGCCTCGAGTTCCAGCCCCATGACCACCACCAACAATAACAACGAAGAAATGACTGGGATGTGGGTACTAGTGGAATTGGGGGGAGGAGGGTGAATAAGGTCAAAATCTGTGATGTATAGAGTCATGAAGCTTGTCATGTGTGAAAATGGAACTGTGAAGTTTGTTGGGATTGCTTGGGAGTGGGGGCGGGGGTGAAGTAGAGTGAGAACAGTATACACAGACGACATGTCAGAATTAAATCCCTTAGTACAACTAATTGATGCTAATTTAGGAAAAAACAAAGAACTGACAATTCCAGTATTAGCAGGAAGTCAATGCAGTTATCTACCTGTGTCCAACAAGACAAGAATTCAGGCAAGTTTCCACACACAGTGAACATGGTAGAAAAGAAATATGGCAGAGGAAAGTGATTTTTATGTGGCTGATACCATAGGAAAATGGTGTCCCAGTTCATCTTTGGTCATCTTCCAGGTACACATGAGTGTTGGGTTTAAATCGAGGCAGGCAAAGGCATGGTTCCAGTTACCAGAGTGATTTGATCAGTCACCACCTCAGTTCTGGTTCTCCCGGTGCTAATGCTGTCACCTCTTGAGGGAGTAAGTAATCTGTTCCCCTGGAGATGACTCCGCTGGCTCCAGGATGCAGTCTGATCACTACAGGTAATGGTTCTCATCTGGGGCATCTGTTCAAGGCTTTGTTCTTCCGTAGGGGTAGCTTCAGTCTCTTGTCATAAAGATATTACCAGTCAGTCCTGTCCTTCCTGGAGCCCAAAAAGGACTTAGAACAATGACAAACACAAAACAAAGGCAGGGATTCCAGACAGTTGTAAGTATCAGTGTGCTTTTCACAGACTGGAAGTGGGCTGTCTCTACAATGGGAACCACACATTAGCCTCTGAGGTCTGAGATTGCCTAGGTCCAGTCTACAGGACTGAGGTCGCCTGTGACTCGAGAAGTCTAAGCACAATATTTTCTCTCAAAGATCTTGTGAGCTCTTCGGTTTAGGTTCCCTCTGCATTTTCCCATTATGGCTAGCTGCCGCCTATCATCAGAAACCTGGATGGTGTAAGCTCTTTCTCTTTTTCTCTCTCTTGGTTGCTCTCTCTTTGCTCTGTGCCAGTTTTTCTCACACTGAGCCAGCCTTTTCCCAGGTGGCAGAAATATGATCACTGATATCTCAAGCTTTACATCTCAATCCCTTCATAAGATGAGACTTCCTCACATGCTGTACACTACTCTCCAACCAGTGAACGAACCAAAGAATACCTGTGGATACAGCGATCAGAACAGTTGGGTTTGGTTACCCATCTGTGGAGTACTCTACCCTTTCTTGTAATTTTAATGAACAGAAGAAAGGTTTCAGAAAAATGAATAGCTTTCTTCAGAAAGAATAATAAATATCTCCCACATTATTGCTTTGGCTCAGTCTCTTTTTTAAAAAGTAGACATTCATTGTTCTACACAATAGACTATTTATTTCGTTGGTGGATTAAAAATTATTAATATCTTTTCCTAAAAGATTTCAGATCATTAAAGGGAATCATAAATATAATTATAAGCTGCTAATGAAATATTCCAATAAATCAAAAACTACAGATAGCCTAAGAATAAAAAAGGGAAAAAAAGTAAAAGGGAGAGGGGCAAAAATGAGACATAGAGCTGAGTGTGATGGTAATACTTACAATCCTAGCCCTTAGGAAGTTGAACTTAGATGATAATGAATTTGAGGGCAGCCTGGTCTATACAGTAAGACCCTTTACCCTCCAAAAACAAAACCAAACAAAATAAAAACTGGATGTTGGAATTAGTTAAATGAAAAATTAAGTCATTTGAACTATGAATTTTATGACAGAGAATACGAAAATTGAAATCTAGTTGGTAATTAAAATCTATGATTTTAAAAAAGTATCAATTACTCAATATAAGCAACTTACTTCTTGACTATCATGAGAAGGGAAACACTGTGTAACTTCTTCATCAAGAATGTGGAATATAATGACATGAATTCCATAGGGTGATACAGAGAGCAATGACTGGATAAGCCCTAGTATTACACCAAACACAGTTTGGGCCCTACTCCTGTAGGGCCCAAAAAGCAATAGATGTTCAAAGTATATTTTAGCTTCTAGCAGATTTAACAATTCATTAATTAACTCAATGAACAATTTCTAAGTGGTATCACCAGACATAGCGTGAACAATATATAAAGGAATGAACAAAGTACACGTCTTCTGAAATCACTGTTGGCCATTGTTGTCCTTAATTGAGCTTTTAATAGATACTTGAGTGACAAAAAAGGCAAGAAGGTCCTTACTGGCAAGCAAGAAGCAGTATGTCTATTTGGCCAACTAAGGAAACAGTTACATGGTTCCTGCTGGGATGGGTAATTTGTGAAAAGTTAGAACATGTGAAAGTCTTCCTGAAACCATCCTATTATCTTCCTGGAGTTAAATGAGGGGATTTTCACAGGCAGAATTTCAACCTTAAAGCATTGTCAAAATGTATCTGGCTAAGTGAATGAGGGCTATGCTATGCCAATGTGGTTCCATTGGTATGACCTCAGAACAAAGGCACTTATAGGACAATAAAAGACTACAAGGCCAATTCCTGGGATGACCTATTCTCTATTTTGGTTTGGGAGGTGAGTTCAAGACTGTACATGTTAGTTGAAAACTAGAACTCTACAGGGTGGACTGAGCACTAAGTGAATTATAGTTTCATTTCTAAGAGACAAATTTAGGACACACATCCATTATTATAACATGGGTCATTTGTTTCTGATTTCAAAACAACTTTGAAAAATTATATATAGCAATTGGGAATATATGAATGTTGACTTGATGTCTGACAGTAAGTTGTTATTTTCAAATAATTGTGATTAGTATTATGAATATACTTATAGAAATAGTCTATACCTTCTAGTGGTGCATAGGGAAATGATATATACCTAGAATTGGCTTCTAAATTATATAATAGATAGTCCAGGGTATTCATTTGAAGCAAGATTGCCAATGAGGTCTTAGTTACCGAGGTTGAGGGATGAGTACTGAAGAGTCTGACACACTAATTTCGACTCCCTAATGTGTTTGAGATTCTCTCTAACATTTTTTTGAATCAAAGCACAGGTGGTCATGCTCCCCGTAAGCCTAGCTAGCCTAGAGACTGAGGTCTGAGAATTATAGTTCAAAGCCAGCTGAAAGTAGAGGTATGACTCAAGTAGCAGAGTGCCAACTTGAGCAAAAAGCCAAGTAAAACCAGGTACCAGTGGCTTGTGCCTGTAATCCTAGCTACGTAGGTGGCTAAGATATGAGGATGACAGCTCAAAGCCAGTCAAGGCAGGAAAGTCCATGAGATTCTTTATCTCCAATTAACTACCTTAAAAAAAAGCCAGAAATGGAGCTGTGGCTCAAGTGGTAAAGTACTGGCCTTGAGCAAAAAAACCTCAGGAACAGTAAGCACCCAAGCCCTGAGGTTCAAGCCCCGGGACCAGTAGAAAAAAAGTTGTTTTGAATGTGTGGTGGCGCTATAAAAACAAACCTCCTTCATTTTATGAAAAAAAAAATGACAAAAAAATACAGAAAACACACCTGATCAGAGGAACCAATACAAACATGAAAACTCACAGTAGAGATGTCTGTTCAATTGCAGGAGGACTTGGGGCACATCTACTGCTATGGTGGTTGGAAATTCATCAGGACTAGAACCACTTCATAGTTGCTCAACCACTAAGCTGCTTCTGGGCCATTGTTAACTTGAATTCAACATAATAACAACAACAACAAAATAAATCTAATACTAATCTAAAAAGTCTGGTCTAATCATTGATACAAACAATAGACATGTGTAAACTTCTATCACTTCTTTTCTGATATGTGTATTTGTTGTGTGAATTTTATTTTATGCCACCTTGCTCTGTACCTTTCAAAACGCTAATCTATTTGAAGGGGAAGATAACAGACAGCTATATAGGATGTCATTTTGGATCATATAATAATTGTATGCTTTAATATTCAATTAGATGGCCACTTTGATCTGTTAAAAATAATCATCCTCTAGGTATATATGGTCTTTGGCATCCTAATATGCCTCTGTCCTTCATTCCCAAGAAAGCCAGGGCTGGGAAGCAGAGGGTCAGGACTGTCACAGTGGATCAGCGCCAGCCTGGCTCAGACCACAATGGAAGACAGCCAGCAGCACCAAGCCAAAAAGAGCTGGGACAGGAACATGGGTCACACAGCCAGAAACAAACAGGCTGGGAGAGGTCAAAGCAGAGTGAGTCTACAGGACAGAAGGTTTATCCCTTCTGTTCCTTGTGACTTGAAATACTTTGTGTGTGTGTGGTTGCACACATGCACGCACATGCCAGTCCCGGGGCTTGAACTCAAGGCCTTGAGTGCTTTCCTTGATATTTTGTGCTTGATATTTTTTTGTGAATCTAATGTTCATATACATTAATCAAGTAATGAATAGTTGGACAAATATGACATCTTGAAGTGACTGATGTCTGTAGGAGACATGGATTGGTTGACTGAGTGACTGATCTTGTCAGTTGTGGGGATTGAACTCAGGGCCTGTGTGCTGTCCCTGAGCCTCTTTGTGCTGAAGGCTAGCGCTCTACTACTTGAGCCACAGCATCACTTCTGGTTTTTGAGTGGTTAATTGGGAATAAGAGTCTCACAGGGACTTTTCTTCCAGGGCTGGCTTTGTACAATGATCCTTAGATCTCGGCCTACTGAATAGCTAGGATTACAGGTGTGAGCCACCAGTGTTTCATGAATTTGAGGGGGGGAGTGGGGAGAGGGCTTTAAAAAAATCTGTATTTTTGTTATTGTTATTGTTGTCTTTTCATTTTTGGTACTGGGGATCAATCCCAGGATATTGTACATACTAGGCAAGTGCTTTGCCACTGGGCTACATCCCAGTCCAACATGGATGTTTTTGTGTTATTTCCAAATATGATCTCAAAATCATATCTTGTATTAAAATGTTTCATTTTCATGCAGTTTATAATAGAACCTTATTGTAGCATGGTTCATTATTTATAATTTGTAAATAAGATGAGACCCTATAAGGTGGTTGCTCCCTAAACCATAAATCTAGCAAAACAATTTGAGAATAAAGATGAGATTTAGAGGTTCATTTCAATATAATATTAGAAATAACCTTTCAAATCCTCCACTGTGAGTACTAGAAACATGTGAACAATGTCTTGTTTGTTGTCTCTCAGATCTACTTATTCCCACCAGTCATTGCAGGTATCTCTCCCATTTCACTGAACTCTTTGTCTTGGCCCACAAATCCCAGCCCTAGTTCTTACCCTCTTCAAAACCAAAATCTCCTTTAACTAAAGTGGTCCATTCGTTTTTTCTACTCTCCCTGTCCAGAGACAGTTTTAAATGATTTCATTACCTGCCAGAGAGTGTAGAATTTTACTATCATCCTTGTTTATTAGTTTCCATCTTATGTGTGGCAACAATACAGAAACAGGCCATATGGGGGTTTACAAATGAGCTACCCAATTTCAGAAGGTAAGTATTTTTTTTTTTGTCAGTCGTGGGGCTTGAACTCTGGGCCTGAGCGCTGTCCCTCAGCTCTTCAGCTCGAGGCTAGTGTTCTACCACTTGAGCCACAGTGCCACTACCAGTTTTCTGAGCGGTTTATTGGAGATAAGAGTTTCACGGACTTTCCTGCCTGGGCTGGCTTTAAACTGAGACCCTCAGATCTCAGCTGCCTGAGTAGCTAGGATTACAGGAGTGAGCCACCGGCGCCTGGCTTCAGAAGGTAAGTATTCCTAACACACAAGTACTCGGAAAAGTTATCAAGAGCCGAGCATGGCACACTTTTCAGTGGAAGGTCAGTCATTTGCCTCACTCCCAGGTGTTCTGTTGTTGCCAAGGATTAATACCATGGCCGTAAAGAGGCATTTGATGCCAATGTTCATAAAATATTGGGGTTAATGATCTATGAGGTCCAATATATTTGCCAGAGTTTTGTTGTTTTAGCACTCAGTACTGAACAATCAGGAGATCCTAGCTCCACCTCATGTTCTCTACTGTGAGACTCTGGATTTCTCACATATTCCTCACTTTGTGAGAAACCACAAATATTCCCAAGGCTAAGATGTAATAACTTGAGTAACTCTCCAAAAATGATAGTGAACTTTCAAAATAGATTCACATGACTTATGGGGGAAGTATTTGCATGACTGTGAAAACAGCAAAGGAGAAGAATAAGATCACCTGTGATCTTTCACAAGTGAACATAGAAAAAACCGTCCAAACTAGGCACATGGTTCCAGCCAGTCTTTCTGCTCTTGCTGAAATAAAATTGGGGGAGGCTGGACATTATTGAGGGCACTCTCAGACATGTTTATGCCTGGGATAAGTCATAAAAGGGCTCCCCAAGACAATGAAGAAGATTCTCACCCAGATGATCACCCCTCCCATCATCCCAGAAGATCCATAACTTCTCAGATATCCTAGAATATCTCTGATGTTGCTGCTCATATTATACCAAGTCAGGGTTCTCTAAACCATTAGCTTTCACAATAATTAAATCAGATACAATAATTAGTTATGAAGATAGTCTGAAGTAATTTGATGTACTTTGCCAGATCTGCAAAGTACTATCTGCCTTCTGTTTCTTTTGGAAGCCTTCTTTCCTCTATTTCACAAAAGCTCATGTTCTGTTGTAAACACTGCAAGCATGTAACCAAATGTGAGAGGAAGCTGGAGTTACCCTAGTGTGTGGGCATCCTTTCCTCTTATTTTTCCAAGGAAAAGACTGTGTGACCTGTACGAGGAGAGGAAGAAATACAAGCATATGTTGTTTATACTATTTCTCCATGTAATACCTACTGACAAGTGGGTGGGCAGACACAGGGTGTGGCCAGCTCGCTCCACTCTGATGAGAAACTTGGAGACAGATTAAAGCAGCCAAAGATGACAGGGCATTTAGGTTGTGTGGCATAGCTTTCCTGAATAATTCACATAGGCTTGCTTTAGAGCTTTCCATTTGGAGTTGGAAATTAAACATCTGATAAGTGTACTGCAAGTCAATTTAGGGTTAATCTAATTTGTGTCTGAGTGTGCTTGTTTTCAGTATCTTGTTAGATAAATCACATTATGTGCGCCTAATAGGTCTTAGACTCTGCGTCTGACACAAAAATGGCTATTATAGCTCTTCCTGTTTGCAAATTATGGATGATATGAACAGTCACAGTGCTGCAAGGGTGCATAAAATGCCCAAGAAGCTGGCTCAGGACTTCTGGGAAAGGAAGGACAAGTACTTCAGTTTTCCCTTTGGGCCAATGACTTAATGAACATTCTACACAGTATCAAAGCAAATATAGGATAATACTAGGGTTTCCCATGAAGGTTTGATTACATCAACATTTTAATTTATAATTCACTCAGAAAGAAAAGACAGATATAGACTCAGAACTCTTGGTGGAACACCTGCATGTGTCACTCCCGGTGACCCTAAAAGTTCCACTCCCATGCTTCAGATCCTCTTCCAACAAAGGCCCATATTCTTCTAAATGAAATACTGTCCTTTTATAACATTGTCTGTCTAAACAGGTGAGTCAACAGTATGTCATCAAGAAACAAAGTGATAATGTGGTACATTACTCAGAGGAGTTGACCTTCAGACCTCTGGGAGACTTCGGACTTTTTTTTTTTGGGTCCGGTTGTGGGGCCTGAACTCTGGGCCTGGGCGCTGTCCCTCAGTTCTTCAGCTTAAGGCTAGCGCTCTACCACTTGAGCCACAGAGCCACTTCTGGCTTTTTTCTTTTTTTGCTTATTGTGCTGAGGAATTGAACCCAGGGCCGCATGCATGCAAGGCAAGCGCTCTACCACTGAGCTACCTTCCCAGTCCCTGACTTCAGACTTCTTGACTTTGAGGAAGACAAAAAGACAACTATCAGCCCCAAGGCTTTCCCTCAAAGGAATGCCAATCCCACAAGAATCAGGGGGCATTTGCCAGGTACCAGATTCAGCTTTTAAGCTGCTCTGAATGGAGATCATGCTCATTCTTTACCTTTCACATTTGGAAGGACCAAATTAGAAAAGCCCTTAATTTCTTTCTAGGTCTTACCACTCTTACCAGTAGAAGATATCTAATTATTCTTTTGATGGGAAAAGTCCCCCAAAGCCTACATTTTCAAGACTTATGTGCTAATTCTATTTTACTACAATGAGTGGTCATTAATATCAACTCATAATTATTGACTACTTACACACATTTTTTTCTCTCTCCAGCCCTGCCTTCCATACTTCGAATATATTCTGAGTCATTTGTAGAAATCAAGAGATGAAGGGTTAAAGTTTTGAGGCAGTTGCTTGTTTAAACTAAACCTAAGATCAGCAAATTCTGTCTAGCAGAGCAACACGTGGTGGTAATCCACGTGTTTATAAACGTGCCTTTATAAACCCTGCAAATCTTTAGCTCGGGGCTCTCCACCTAGGCTCCACTGTGTCGGAGTGTAGGACGAGGCCCGAGCTGCAGCCTGTCTAAATAAAACCTTAAAACAGCTGTAAAGTCTGACTCCCGGTGGTCTTCTTGGTGGGGGTCCTGCGATCTGGGCACAAGTAAGACATAATGCTAGTTGATTCATTAGTTAAAGAATTCGTCTATTTTAGAAAGACAAATTAATGTATCACCTTTGATATTTCCATGGACAGAAAACAATTCACTGACCTTGAGGATTCGCTTGAAATGTGCCAAGATAGCTGTGGACAGGTGAGCTTCTAAATGATACTATGTATCTTCTTTCCCTTGTCATAAAGTAAGAACAAGAAAAAAGTTCATTTAAAAGTATGTTACCATCTCAAATTATGATGTAATAACAATTTATAATTACTGGTGAAACACATATGCCATTTAACCAACATTTATTTAACAAAAACTATTTTATAGTAGGTTCTGGGAATGTAAGAATAAACTAGAAAGACAATGGTCAATAGCTCTGCCAATGGGGTGGTCAGATTTGAACTGTAAGGCTTAACCCAGGTTTCTGCTACAAATCCACTGGGAGTAAACACTGCCCCAGAGGATCACTGCGCACACGAACTCAGTTGTTCTTGGTTTTCCCAAAAGTTTTCCACAGGTGTTCAAGAATAAACCCACTGAAGCTCTTATGTTCCAGCTTCTTCTTTATCTCTCAGTCCACTGAGCATGGGGCCAAGTGTTGGCCCTATGCTGACAGGCCTGCCTGGCTTCTGTAGCTGCTTCTGTAGCCTAGTCAGACTGCAGTAAAGCTGCTCTGTGGTAGGAGTCCATGGGAAAGCACTTCCCCAGGCCTGGATGATGTCACACAATGCATCACTTGGGCTTGAAGGAGTCCTGGACTACTCTTCTTTCCTTCTGTCTACCATCCTTCCTTGTTAAGATGTCTGACTTCTCTAGGATCTGTTGAAGAAAAAGATATCCAACATGTGCCAGACATTTGCTAACACTTTATTTGGTATTAACTCATTAATCCTTAAAACAGCCAAAGTAGGAGTGTGGACTGAGAGTACTTTTGTTTCCTACGTAGGCAAGGTATAGTGTATTAATTCTCCTAAGTTTAAAGTGACAGACATTCACTCTTGTCACGTTTCCCAGGGACCAGAGCATAATGGAGGGCCTTACCATTGGAGGTCTCTCTGTGAAACTGATGGTCTGATTAGGGATGGGGTCTTATCTAAAGGATAAACCATGAAAGGATCAGCTTTCATATTATGCACACGGTGGTCACTGGTGGCATTTTGCTCCTTTGGATGTTGCACTCACAGACTACATTTCTAGCTGGCTGTTTGTAGTTTAGGAGCAGCTGTCAGTTTCAGGTCACATGGACTTCCCTAATGTAACAATTTGTTTCATAAAAGTCAGCAAGGAGGAAGTCTGCTAGCAACACAGTCATAATCTTGTAATCATGAGAATAATATCCTAGTACCTTTGAAATATTCTATTGGTTAGAAGCAAGTTGAAGCTTCTGTCCATGTAAGGGGAAAAGATAAATGTATAAATAGAAGAAATAAATAGACCTCAGGTTCCTGAGGTCATCTTGGAGCCTGTTACCCACAGTGTGGGGAACTGACCAATGATTAGGAACTAATTGGCAAGTAAACCAGCATTTTAGTGCAAGAAATCTACCTCCTGAGGAAAATGAGACACAATTTATTTAGGAACTGATTTACCTAGAGAAATCACAAATCTATTTTTAAAGATATGAGAGAGATATCTTTGTGGTGACTGATTTTTCTACCTACACATTTAATTTTTGAAAATATTAAGACATCATGTCAGACACCTCTGGCTCATGCCTGTAATCCTAGCTACTCAGAAGGCTGAGATCTGAGAATCACAGTTCAAAGCCAACCCAGCCAGGAAAGTATATGAGACATTTATCTCCATTTATCTCCTCCCGACCCACTCCTACCAAAAAACAAAAAACTGAAGTGGAGGGGTAGGGTGCTAGGCTGGGAAGGTGGCTCAGTGGCAGAGCACTTGCCTTGCATGCATGAGGCCCTGGGTTCGATTCCTCAGGACCACATAAGCAAAAAGCAAAAAGCCGGAAGTGGCCCTGTGGCTCAAGTGGTAGAGCACTGGCCTTGAGCTGAAGAACTGAGGGACGGCACCCAGGCCCAGAGTTCAGGCCCCACGACAGGACCCAAAAAATAAATAAATAAGAGGTAGAGTGCTAACCTTGAACAAAACATCTCATGCTTGAAATTCAAGCCCCAGGACCAGCACAAAACAACAAAACCCTAAGGCTTTCATATAATTGTTTGGATTTCCAGGAGCTTTTAGAAAAACTAATCAGAAGACATGGTGCTACTGTTTCCTCTCTTGTCATGTGGACAGCTGTTAACTATAACAAAATTAACAACATAGTAACAGTCTGCTTGTCTGCTGCCCACAGCTCCCTCTGAGCCCACTTCTTCCTAGCATGGCACTAACTGGTGGCATTTGCCTGTGCTACCACCGCAATAGTCAGTAGGGCTGAGAACTAAAATGAGACCATCTATAGGGTAAAACTGGTTTCTAAGGATGGAGGTGTGGTTTAAGGCCAAGTTCAAACTCCAGTACCAAACACACACACACACAATCCTAGGTAGTGTGTAGGAAATTTATCTCAATAATCCTACACAGAAACTAAACATTTGCCCACTCACTTCTATAGTGCTGTTTAACAAAGTTACATGCCTAGTTGTCCAATGTTGACTGAAGCCAGGCACTAGTGGGTCACACCTGAAATCCTAGCTACTCAGAAGGCTGAGATCTGAGAATCACAGTTCAAAGCCAGTCCAGGAAGAAAGGCCCACAAGACTCTCAATTAGACATATGCACACACAGAGAGACAGAATTGGAGCTGTGGCTGAAGTGGTAGAGTGCCAGCTTTGAATGAAAAGGCTAAGGGACAGCACCCAGACCCTCAGTTCAAATCCAAGTACTGGTACGTGTACACACACACACACGCGTGCGTGCACCCACACCCCCACACGTGCGCGCGCGCACACACACACACACACACACACACACACACACAGGCTGAAAGGCCTTCTCTGCTCATTTTTAAACTGGTATCTAACACCTCAACCTTACCACCTGAAATACATACAAATGCCACATCTTCAAGCACTACTTTCAGGAGATGGAGGTATTTGTTCATTCTTTGTGCTGAGTTCTGTATTAATAAATGTAACTTTAGTAACTTGAATTGGGAAACACAGAAATGCACTGACAAGTAATTTCAACATCTCTTGTCAGGTCTGCTGTATACAGGATCAAAACCAGGTCTTGCACTTTTCTACTATTCTAGGCTGTCTTGGCTCAAATCCTTTCTTTATATAAAACTGCAAGACTAACCTGAGGTTATAAACATTATCCTATGTCACTGTCTTCAAATTATCATATAATTATGTATTAATCGTCATATCCTTTATACTGCAAATGAACTTGCATAGGAAATATAATTATAGCTATTAGATCCTAGACCCTGGCTAGTAGGTGGTTCAAACAGCCTTTCTCCCTTGCAAGTTCTTAGGATCAGAAGATAAAAGAGAAAATTGTGTTTCCCACAGCCATCCCAGATAGTAATTCTCACTGTCTCATGACTTCACAGCTGCAAATCAGTCCCCACCTACTCACATTTGTCTCTGGCCCGTGATGCCTTCCTTAATTAGTACATGACTTAACCTCGTCCTGACTTATCAGGAGCTTAGCAGCCCCTGGACAACCTAAGTACAAGCTGGTCTAATTGGGAAAGAAAATCTACTTGAGCACAGATGTTATTTGTCCCTGATATTGTATAAAAGGAAGAAAAATTTAATTTGGTTGTTGAATTTGTTTTTAGTATCAACTGAATTGGTTGTAATCTAGTTATATCTAGGTTTTTTACATGTGGTGCTAGTTTTATTTCTATGGTTCTTATATATTCACTAAAATGGGAATGACCACTCAAAAATTTCTAGAGGATCTAGATTCTGTTCACTAGGATCCATATTTTCTCTGTAGGATGCAATTTGAGAAACAGGAAAAACTCTGTTAAGGAGTATGCAGATCAAACATGGTACTGCTTCTTTTTTATTATTACTATTATTGTTTTTTTTTTTTTTTTGGGTCCGGTCCTGGGGCCTGAACTCTGGGCCTGGGTGCTGTCCCTCAGCTCTTCAGCTTAAGGCTAGTGCTCTACCATTTGAGCCACAGCACCACTTCCGGCTTTTTTCTTTTTGCTTATGTCGTGCTGAGGAATCGAATCCAGGGCCTCATGCATGTAAGGCAAGCTCTCTACCACTGAGCCACCTTCCCAGCCCCTTATTACTATTATTACTTGCCTCAAATTGCCTTAGTCTCTGTTACTTCCCTTGGTGGCTAAACCACAGATGATAGCTTTGCTCTAGAATCCTATACAAATAATCCATGTAGATAAGAAAGATGTGATACTGGACATTCTCTTCAGTTGCCATTGGTTAGAGCTAAATGCTCCTATGGAGGCACCGACTGAAGTTTTTCTGAGGATGTAAAATAAAATATGATAGAAAATGAAAACAAGATGAAGTGAGAGTAAAGTTTAATTTATGTGACAAGGATACATTTAGCACTACAGTGTACATGACAGCATGTTAAGATACTTGAGGGAGATATAAAAGCACCACAAAACCTGCTTCCCTGGGTTTGGGAGATAATCTATGACCTGAAACAGACTTATGAAATAGATAACGGTGAACTTTTCGCACACCAAGTGCTGATAATAGATTACAGATGCTACAGCAGCCTCTTGCACAGGCTGTGCAACTGGAGCTGAAGATGGGCGCCAAGTCAGCTCATTTATATGAACAAGGTGGTCTGTGCACAGAGAAAAGAAGGAACTTAAACAGTCTACACTACACCAGGCACTTTGAGGAACAAAGGAGTTTTTCTACTGAGCACTATATAGGCATTGCAGATGCCTAAACAAAAGAAAGAAATGGGTGCCCTGAGATTTGTGGTTTTCTTAAAGTAGGTTTGAGGGAGAAAACACTAGGGAAAGAAGACTGGTTAGCCAACAGCAGGAACCTAAATTTCTGAATCTGCTTAAGACAATAATTGGGGATGAGACAAAACAAGAAAGATTTGCTTGTTTATTTATTTTTTATTCAGACTGAGAGTTAGGGGAAGATTGGACTGAAAAATTATTCAGATGGGTAAAACTGACCCAAGGTGTCTAGCCTGAATGACCCAGCTTGAGGTGGAACAAGGTGCGTCAAGGAAAAACACCCCCGAATCTCAGGAAGTGCAATCATGGAACTGGGAAGGACCCTGAAAAGCTGAAAACAACCCCGACCCCTTCATTTCAGAGCCGGCCGATGAGGCCATGAAGCCCGTGGTGCCTCGGTCAGGAGAGCCAGCCCAGTCTCCAGGGCCTGCTTCACCCCCCCCTTCCCATAGGCAGATGGGGTGGGCCATCTGCAGCCAAGTTCGATTTCTTTTAAGTTGATTCAAACAACAACGCCCCTCCCCCCCATTTTTTTCTTTTTTCACTTTAAGAACTGACGTTTGCGCTGCTGCGACCGCCCTAACCCAGTCCCCCCTTTCAGATTCACTGGTCTTTAAGACCGGTCATCCCACTGCAGGACGCGAACGAGGTGCGAGCCGCACAACCTCGGGGAGGGACCCCCCCCCCCAGGCCTGTGGGGGCAGGCGGAGCGGGCAGCAGGGGTTCACTAGATGAGGGGGTCCCCACCACAGGACGGCTGCCCCGGGGCAGGGTCCGTGGGGCAGCGGTGGAGGGGGGGCGCGGACACCCTTCGTTAACGAAGCCACGTGCCGTGCGCGGAGTCCCCGCCCCGAGATCTCCGGCCAGGGCGGCGCCCCCTCCCCCGGCCCGGCCCGGCCCGCGGGGACCCGAGGCACCCAGCGAGGGCGGGCCGGCGGGAAGGCCGCGCGGGCGCCGGGGCTCGGCGGGCGCTGACCCCGTCCCGGAGCCGAGGCCGCGGACGCGCGGACCCGCGGCGGCCACCGCAGCCCTCCCCGCCCCCCTCTACACGAGCCTGTTACCACGACTGGAAAACTGAAGGTCCAGGATTCCTTCCAAGAAAGCAAGGTTCTAAAATCGAACAGGGCCTGCGCGGCACCGAACCCCGAGAGCCGCGGGGCGTCCCGGGCGCCCAGCCGCGAGAGCCAGGCGTCTGCGCTCCCAGCCCCCATGGGCGCCGGCGAGTGAGAGCAGGGTCAGAGCGCGGCGTGCGCGTCCCCGCCGAGCCCGGCGTGCGCGCCTCCCGCCGCCTGCTCCTGCGTGCGCGCCGCCGGTGGGCGGGGCCGAGCGGGGCGGGGCGCGCGGAGAGGGCGGCCGCCTTTGGAGGAGGCCGTGGAAGAGAGAAAAGGCGGCGGCCGGGTTGTGGAGAGCGGCGCGGAGGAGGAGGCGGACCGGTCCCGAGCGTGGGGCGCGGAGCTTCGGGGTACGGCGGCCACGGCAAGCGGGGCCAGGGCCGCGGTTCGGCCGCAGCGGCCGGTGAGTGTCCGGGAGGCCCCGCCCGCGGGGAGGCCGGCGCGGGCCGCGGAGAGCGCCGGGCACCGCGGCTGCGGCCGAGCGGGGCGCGGACCTGGGCTCCGGGGCCGCGGCGGGACCCGGGCGGAGCGGAGTCGGCGCGGCTCGGGGGCCGGGGCCGCCGTGCGGGCGCGCGGGGCCGGGGCCGTCCGCCCCCGGGGTCCGCGCCCCGCCGCCTGCGTGGCCAGCGGTTGAGGCGGTCAGCAAATGGCGACCCGAACCCCGGGGCCGCCGACCCCCCCCCCCGGGTCACCCTGGTTTGGGGGTGCGTGCGCGCGCGCAGGTCGAGGAGGGGTTGTCAAACTTTTAGGGAACCCCGTGCCTTTGGGGGGCGTCGAGCAAGTTGGGATTCTTTGGGGACAAACGGGTTAAAGTGAGGACTTGGGGCGGCCTGGAAACTCTCTCGGCGGGATGAGCGGAGTTGGTAACTTTTCCATTCATGGAAGCGAGACGGCCCGGCTCAGCCTCAGACCTTGTGAAAGGCGAACTCCTGCCCCGCGCTGCAGACCTGCGGGGCGGGCACACAGATCGCGGGGTGCAGCCCCAGGATCTGCGGGGGGGGGGTGTTCCACGTGACTGAGCTGTCTGGGTAAACCCTGCTCCCCACCCCCCACCCCCACCCCCGGCCCGTCTCTGCTTTTAACTTCCAGCCCCGGTTGTAAATCCTGAATTAAAGATGCTTGGGGAAGCAAACTGACCTTTTTCTTTCTCGCGATTACTTTGTTGTTGTTGACGACTCCGAGCCAAGATGAAGTTATTTATGGGCATCTTGATACCAATGTAGGTTAAGTTAGAACTCTGAACGCAGCCTCCCCGCCCCACCCCCCAGCCAACTCTCTAGGTGGTGAACCTGTTCTCTGCTGCCCAGTAAATGACCGTGCCCTACCTTGGTGCGTAGTAAAGTTTTCCAAAACAGTTGAGTGGTTCACCGGGCCGAAGGCAGGACACCATAAAATTCGCCTTTAGGATTCTCCCCTCCCTCCCCCCTCCGCCCAGGGGTAGATTTCAGTCTGTGGTTTTCGTTGAATCCCTCTTCTTGATGCTTAGTCACTGTTTCTCACTGTGGAAGTTTAATTGGGGACAGCGTGGTGTTTTGCAAACTCCTTAAATTGCCAGTTTGTTTTTTACCCAGGACTTTAATTAACATAAAGCTTTATTTCGTGGGTGATTCTAGAAATGGAACCGGAGTTTGCCTGTGTGTTCCAAGTTTACTAAAATGTTTAGGTTGAACCCAGTGTTTCTAAGTTGCTAGCATTGGGAGACTTGCTTAAAAAAACAACAACTAAGTATTCATATAAAATGTAACATTAAAATGCAGTACTGCATAAATAATTGCTAACGTTTTTTGACAATGTATGTAGTCGGAGAGCTATTTGAAAGTCACCAAAATAGGTATTGGTTAATGAGTTTAGTATTTGGTCTCTAAGCCAGATCTAAAACATATGACTATTGTGATATTTTAAGTGATCTGCTGAGACTATTTTGATGAAGGGAGTTGGTGAACACTGGTCATTGTATTATAGAATGGCACTGTGTTTGTAGAAAACTTGTTTTGACTCAAAAAAGACTAAGTATTACTTAATTTCATATTCATTGCAATGAAATAGGTGAGATTGAGCTTGAATAAATTGCTTGTAGGTCAGTTTAGGGAGGTGTTACATGAGCATACATCAAATTTCCTTCTAACAAAGTATGTCTTTCAAAGAGAAATGTTAGCACTAGATACAGTAGTTCCTCATATCACTGCATTTAATGAGCTTCTTAAGTTTAAGCAGATATAAAAACAATTGTACATGAAGTTGTGTGTATAAATGTGGCTGTTTTCTAAGAACTGCATGTTCATGTCTTATTGGACACAATTATAACCAACCTTTCCAAAGATCTACATTGATTTCAGAGTACAGAAACTGCCTCGAGCCCAAAAGCTGAGAGTCGTTGGCAGGCCACTCACTGCCAGCCTGGTGGAACGCTTTGAACTGAGCATCAGTTCACACAGGTTCTTATCTTAGTATTAACGTTTACTAATATTGCTTTCCTTTCTGATAAAAAGCTGTGATACTTTAATTTGTTTAATGGAGAACATTTCAACTCACCACTTTGAAACCAATCTGTCACCATGACCATGTTTAGAAGTACAAGTTGTATATTTTCTATTATATCACATCGGGAATGATATATACTTGAGTTTTTTTCTCATGTAATTCATCTTAAAACCAGGAACAAAAGTTTAATAAAACAATTACATACTGTAACTCATTGAGCCATTTTGGACCAGGACATGTGCTGTATGGGTTGGGAATCCAGTGATAGAGTCTTGTCTAGCCACCTTGACACCCTCCTTTTTAATTTTTTAACTTTTTATTATGTTTATTTTCAGTGCTGAGGATATCCTAGGCTCTTAGATATTCTAGACAAGGGCTGTACCACTAAGCTATACCTCCAGATCCCCACCCTACATACTTTTTAAAGCTAAGACAACCTGGGTGCCAGTGGCTTATGCCTATAATCCTAGCTACTCAGGAGGCTGAGATCTGAGGATCATGGTTCGAAGCCAGTCTCTAAATAACCAACAAAATGCCAGAAGTGAAACTGTGGCTCAAGTGGTCGAGGGTCAACCGTGACCAAAAGAGCTTGGGGACGGTGCCCAGGCCCTGAACTTAAACCCAAGGACACACACACACACACACACACACACACACACACACACACACACACACACACACACACACACACACACACACACACACACACACACACACACACACACACACACACACACACACACACGACAAAATGTCCAACCAAAGTATCGTTTTATTATGATAATTAAAATGAAATGCATCCGAGCAGTAGTCAATCTATGTTTGCATTTACCATATACACACTGGTAACTTTGACTATATGAAGGATATTTGCCCTGAGATGCTTCTGGCAACATTGCACTAATGGACTTATTTGTAATAATGGTTAATCATTTAAACAGGTCTGTCTAGTTCCACATCACCCGTACTTTGGGACAACATGTTATTATTTTAAGTAGAATTCTATTTTGTCTAATACCATGCTAATTTTAATATTAAGGCCGTAGATTAGTGCCACTCCCTATTTCAAGCCCCTCCTCATCTTATATCCTTCAGTGTCTGTACAAGTCTAAACACCAAACCTTGTCTTTTTTTTTAAATTAGTGCCTCTTCATTTAGTTTTTCTTATTAACTAGCCTCCAGAGTTGATTAGCAATAAAATAATGGAGCAACATGTTTCCTCCTTTTTTTAATCAATGTTAGTTTTTAAAGATTTTTTTAAACAATGGAAGATTGACATTTCCTTTCTTTGATTTACCTTTCCCATTGATTTACTTTTTAAAAGATGATAGAGCTATCTCTAATCCATATGTAATACCACCTGTTAGCACACCAGCTAGGTGCTCCATATGTGAACACCACTGGCTTTTTTTTTTTATCTGAGACTGGAAATCAAACTATGTATCTGATACTTTGACTCATTGGCAGTGTTTTACCAACTGAGCCACATCTCCAACCCCTTCCCCCCACCCCCACCATTGACTTTCAAGCCACGGTAAGGCTGTAACTTTGACTCAGATTCGTTGTCTAATGGCAGAGCTGTAAATCTATCTTTTTTCATGGGCTATGTTTTTGACATCAAGAATCTCAGTTGTTTGGAATCCATGTTGTTGTTTTATTGCATGCCTTGTTGTTTTTATTCACATATTTACACAAATGAATCTGTTTAGGGCAGAATTTGAATGCAGGGAACACAGTCATGAGTGAGATAGAGATGGCTTTGACCTTTGTGGAGCTTGAAGATGTCCTGTGGGTAGATATTAGAATCATGATTTACTTTGAGTTTTTAGTACTAACAGGGGAAATGTACTAGTTGATAAATATACATCAGAACCTTTGTTTTGAGGTACACGGAAAAGTAGCATTTAAGCTAAGGCTAAAGAGTTGGAGTGGCATGTTAAGGTAAGGAAAGATGTGCGTCTTTTAATAGAAGGAACAATCCTCACTCAACAATCTGTTTTGCATACATTCGGTGACTTTTCTTGACATGTTATGAAATCATGCTGGTTTGTTATCTCCCTTTGTGTTTCCGTGATTTTGGAAAAATATTTGAGGGCACTATCTCTTTGCCTTAAATGACAAGATCTCATTTCATTGTATGGGAAAATGCCATGTCTTAAAACTATTTTTAAGAATTGCTTGTCAGCCACAGAGTGTGTTTGGCAAGGCACTTCTGTAGAGAAAATTGAAACTACTGTAAAGTTTTTAATAAAACTTTTTCCAGAAATCCATATTAAAGTGTAAATTAACACAGATGTTATTTGCCATGCTAACTCTTTTTTAATTTTTAATTTTACTTTCCTATAAAGATGTACAGAGGTTTACAGTTATATCAGTAAGGTGATGAGTACATTTCTTGTCCAGCATTGTTACTCCCTCCTTTGTTTTTCTGCTGCTATCTCTTCCCTCCCTCATCTACCCCAAGTTGTAAAGTTCATATTAAGTGTAGTAAACCAGACCCAAAGAAATAGAGGTCCCATGATTTCTCTTGAAATAACTAGTATATGTCTAGGATTATCTTACCAGATGAGCAGAAAAGCTCAAAAGCTATGTACATATGACCACATAAGATGATGCTAAGCAAAATGAACCCCAACATATGGCACAAGAGATTTTTCTTTGTTTTTGTTGTTTTTAATGTACTATGTGATTTTTTTTGTTTCTTTTGTATATTCTTCCTCCTATGGTATATCCCTGGTGTCACTGTATTTGATTTTGGACCTTGCATCTTGTATGTACATTTATCTAATTTGGGGAGGGGAAGAGGAATAACAAAATGCTGAAACAAGGACACAGGATGACCCATTGCAACAATGATATTCACAAGACACTATGTTGGAAATGCTATGCTAACTCTTTAACTCTGCTTCAACAGAGTTAAAAGAAACATTGAGTTTTAAATTTAAGCACATCTTGATTGAAGCCTCAATTGTAGCTACTTGTTTTCTACCAGACCTTCTGTGTCATTGTTCAACAGATAAAATTAGGGCTGTGCAGTTTAAAATCTATTTCACAAAATTTATGAGTAGCTGTGGATAGCTTTATTAAAGCATTTTAAATTTGCTAATTATGATGTTAGAGGTTACATCTGGGAGCGTTTTAAATTGTGAAAAGCTGAGGATTCGCTCTCCCCAAAACACACTCCAAAATGACTGCTACATTTTCTTATCTCTTTACATATGAACTGTCAAATGGGATTGAACTTGATTCTTCTTTTTTGTGGCTATTTTGAGAATTGGTAAATATATCATATACCTTATGTTTATGTTGGGCATTATTGGTCAGATTATTTAGAAGACATTTTAAACAGGTATCTTCATAGTAAAGTAATATGTTCTTATAATTAGAAAGGAGCAAAAAGACTTTCTTGACCACAAGGGCGATTAAGGGTTGGAATAAACTACAAGCAAAGTTGTGTAATCTCCATTCCCCAAATAACATCTTAAAATTGAGTCACCAGTTACTGAAGAGCTGCCTTATTTTCTTGAACTTCAGTAAGCAACCATGTCTGCTACTCTCTTTTTATATTGGTCAGATACAGAGTTAAGTCCTACTTTTGCCAGTTAGTAGGTAGATGATTCTCAGCAAGTTATTTAACCATTTCTGAACCTCAGATTTCTCTGGGTTCTTATAAGGATGTAAATGATTTAATATATTTTAAGGATAAAATAAGTATAGAATTAATGTTCTCTTTTTCTTCAGTCAACTTCAATAAAGAATAGGAATTCTGGATAAGTTGGTACAAGTTTCATTGTTTTTGTTTTTAAACATTCAGAGGAAGGATGATATGGTCTCAGCTCTTTATTTAGAATCCTTGAGAACTCATTTCTTTCCTTTTGCCTTTAAAAGTATTCTCTCTTTTTGCATTTAACTTAGAATTGTAAGTTATTATTATTTTGCTAGTCCTAGGCTTGAACTCTGGCCCTGGGCTCTGTCCCTGAGCTTTTTTTTTTTTTGGCTCAAGGTTAGAACTCTACCACTTGAGCCACAGCACCACTTACGGATTTTTTCTTTTTTGAGTAGTTTTATTGGCGATAAGAGTCATGTATTTTCCTGCCCCAGCTGGTTTTGAATTTCTATCCTCAGATCTCAGCCTCCTAAGTAGCTAGTATTATAGGCAGAGCCATAGGTGCTGGCAATAGTTACTATTTTTAACACTTCAGGAAGCCAGTGTTTTTTTTTTGTTGTTGTTTGTTTTTAATTGGCTTACATTAACTATAAGGGGGAGGGGATTCATTTGTTTACAATATAGTCAGTCTCACCCTATCACTCATCCTCTATCCCAAAACAATTTCAACGGGTTTCATATTCCATTTTCATAGTTGAAATCCATCTGTTCTGATTGCATTCACTGCTTTGACTTCTTTCATTCTCCTTGTTAGTCCAACTCCCTCCTTCTAGTTCCTTCCCCCAATAACAGAGCCTGTTTCTCCTTCCCTAGGGGGCCCTGTAACCCCCTGTTGATCAACAGCCTTCACTGAGGTTCTTTATACTGTTTTCGTATATGCTTGCAATATATTTCCAAAATATTTACCCTTTTTCTTTTTTTTCTTTCCCCATTCTCCTTTTTTTTTTTTTTTACTTTTGAAAACCAAGTATGCTTTAATAATTAAATTTAACTTACATCTGGAATACTTAACTTTTTACACAAACTTTAAAATAGCAGCTATTTCACATACAAAAACCCCATTCTCCTTTTAGTGATGTTTCTAAGATGTGTTCTGCCTGGTGGTCATGTGATGGAATATGTGGTAACATAAAATGTCCCTAACAAGTTCTAAAAGCAGTGGTCACTCCTGTTGAAATCGCTTGTTTTTTAGGTTTCTGTCTTAGCAACAGACAGGCTTGTAATCTTTAGCATGTGAGATAAACTTGTATAGTAGCTGCAAAATAAGAAAGCTACAGCTCTTTATACAGTCTAATCAACCGTTAAGCTTTGTCTCAATTCTTCTTGACGTATCTTTTTGAACATCTGCTTAAATTACGAATGTTTGTCACTATTCATCTGTCATTTCTTCTACTATGAAGAATGTTTTTAATTTGGAAGTTGTATACTTGTTTATGAAATTTGAAAGAAAATATAAAGGCACCTTATTTTATTATTAAGCACAATTTAAAATTAGAATTTTGATGTTGAATGTGTGTCTCCTCTCCTTAGCATAATTCAACATTGTATAGAACTTCTTACCTAATTAAGTAAAGCTCTGTTAATGATGACTAGATAGGTTTTTATTATTGTAGTTCGAGGAAAATCATGCTTTAATGGAAGAAAATAAGAAAGCAATTTGATAAGTGATTACTTTTTCTGGTCCAAGATAGAGTTTAGAGGAAAATATGTAAAAGAGCCAATTATCTTTTATGTACTGAATTTAGAAAACAGGCCAAGAATATGCTTCTTAGCTAGAAAATTATATACTGCAGTATAACAAGTTGGAAAACACTTGAGTTACAAGTGAAAACATACAAAGTTGTTACAGAGGTATGGAGTCTGCAAGAGGGATCTGGGCAGGATGCTTTTATAGCTGAGATTTCAGTATATAGGTGGTATTGAAACTTTTGAAGAACACCCAAGGAGAATGTATAGAATAAACCAGAAATGACACGTTCTCTGATAAAAAGCTAATTTTAGATAAAGGAATAACCAAAGAGGTAACAGTAGGAGAATTTGAGAAGTGTGGAAACAACATGAAAAATAAAGGAAAACAACAGTCCAAAAAGGAAAGGTTAGTCATCATAATGAAATACGGCCAAAGGAGATGGCATCTGAAAAAACAAGTAAATACCCTTTGGATTTAGAAAACCTCACTAAGAACAGATTGAGACAGTAAAGTGAGGGTAGAGTTGGTGAGTGTATTAGAGATTAGATTTTTGTTGTTGTTACTTTTTGGTTTTCTAAAATCTTGACTGAGTAGTAAATAAGAATGATATAAAAGGTCAGTATTAGTTTAAGTTTTTGATGCTGATAGGAACAAACCAACGACATGGTTGAAATGATTTAAAAATGCATCAAATAGATTCAAATTATAGTTAGGCCAGTATATCTTGCTTATACTTTCTTTTATTTGATGCTAAAAAAGTTAAAATGTTAGTTGTAATGCAGGAAAGATCATGAGGTGTCTGTAATCTCTTCATCTTTTCTAGACCCTGTTTCTCAAAATTCTCTAGAGCTTTCACTTACTAAAAGTGAATTCTTTAGAGCAACATATAACACTTACCAGGGGATTTGCTTCATTTCTGTTGGGTCTCACTTTTCAGAGCTATCTTATATTTCACCCTGATCCAGCAATCATAGGAAGATTGAGTAGGTGTTATCAGTGAATGTGTTTCTGCATTTTCATGTGCTGAATGCCTTTTTTCTTACCAGTTTACGGTCTCATACTTCTTATCCTTCATGGCTACTATGCATTATCTACCCTCTTAACATACTGATTAGCTTTTCTTTTTTCTTTTTTTTTTTTTTAACTGTATTTTTTTGTCTTTTCTTTTTTGGTACTGGGGATCGAACCCAGGACCTTGCACTTGCTAGGCAAGCGCTTTGCCACTGAGCTACATCCCAGCCCTGATTAGCTTTTCTATATTACCATTTTATTTTCTTTATCTTGATCACGAGGGTGATGGGGTTTTTACTGTCTGCAGGCTCCTGTTCTAGCTCCTTAGGAGAACGTGTCACACAGAATACTACCTGGTACATAGTAGTTTAATGAAAGAAACTCTCTCCAGAGAGCCACAGCTACATAGCTTGGGCTAAACTTTTATTTTCTAGATAAATTTCTTATATACTTTGATTAAGCTTGTTGATTTATTGTAGACCTTAATAGGTTTATATAGAAGAAGAGATGAGTTAATATATTCAGAAGGAATAAAAAATTAGTAAAAAAGTTTTGATTATGTGCCTTTATGTAATAGATTATTCTGTTAGAAATATGAAGTCTCTGCAATGTGAGATAAACCAAAATCAGTTTAATTGAAATTAAATGATAAACTGTAGCATTCTCTGAAATCTAGAAATTGAAGGTACACAGTAACTTATTATCACTAATTGATTTAGTACACAATATTCGTTTTAAGTATTATATTTTGAAAGGTATAATATGCCTTTGATATACTGGTAATTTGGTACATAAAAAAGAAACTTTATGACATTTTAAAGTACTGAGTTGTTACTTAAAGTGATTAACTTCCTTCAAGATGATTTATTGATCGTATGTAAAATGAACTAGTTGAATATGTTCATATGTTTATTCTTATTTCTGAAGAATAAAGTGGTTTATATTATTAATTTTTTCAAAAATTGACCACTTTTTGGCTAACTTGCTTTCTTTTTTTTTTCTTTCTTTCTTTTTCTTTTTTTTTCTATTTCAAAAACTAGAGCTGGATTGGCCACTATGGAGGAGGAGCTGCAGCATTCACACTGTGTGAATTGTGTCAGTAGGCGCTGTATGACCAGACCTGACCCTGGGGTTTCCTGTGACTTGATTGGTTGTCCATTGGTTTGTGGAGCAGTTTTCCACTCTTGTAAAGCTGATGAGCATCGACTTTTATGTCCTTTTGAGCGCGTGCCTTGTTTAAATAGTGACTTTGGATGTCCATTTACGCTGGCTCGAAATAAAGTTGCTGAACATCTAGAAATGTGTCCTGCAAGTGTGGTGTGCTGTACTATGGAATGGAACCGATGGCCAGTTAGTTATGCAGACCGGAAATCATATGAAAATCTAAGCAGAGATGTTGATGAAGTGGCACAACTTGATATGGCCTTGGCTCTTCAAGATCAAAGGATGCTCTTAGAATCACTCAAAGTAGCCACCATGATGTCAAAAGCAACTGATAAAGTATCTGAACCTAGAGAGCAAATCTCTGTTAAATCAAGTGTCCAAGAAATTCCACATGCTAATGGTTTGGTGTCTGTTGATGAAGAATCTTATGGTGCACTTTATCAAGCTACTGTAGAGACAACCCGAAGTTTGGCTGCTGCTTTAGATATCCTGAACACTGCCACAAGAGACATTGGCATGTTAAATACAAGTCCCCATGCTACCACAAATGAAATGGATGAAGGACAAAATGCCAGGGAAAGCCAACAAGATAGAAACTTAAAAGACCAGGATCATCTTCATGAGGATGAGATAGGGGCAGTAGGTGGAATCGACTATAATGGCACAAGTCAGAATGCCCAGTCTGAACAAAATGGTTCAAGTGATTTACTATGTGACCTGAATTCAGGTTGTTATGGCACTTCTACTCTTTGTAATGGCTTTCCTTTGGAAAACATACGTACACAGGTCAAAGATGATGATCAGAATTTTCATGATGACTCATTACAAAGTAACTTAACAAATGGAGAATGCATAGCATCAGATGGTACTTCAGAACCTTCCAATTCGCTTTTAGTAGGAGCACAACTTAGGGAAATACTTCCATCCAGCGCTTTGCCTAATGGCACAGTTCAGCATATCCTCATGCCAGATGGTGAAGATGAAGGAGAATTGTATTGGAAAAAAGTAGACTTAGGAGACTTGAGGAATATGGATGTTTTATCTTTAAATCATACTCCTTCATTCAAATTTCTCTCTAACTCATGTTGGTCTAAACCAAAGGAAGATAAAGCTGTAGATACATCCGACTTGGAAGTTGGAGAAGATCCCATGGGCCTCCAAGGAATAGATCTGATTACAGCAGCGTTACTCTTTTGTCTAGGAGACTCTCCAGGAGGAAGGGGTATATCTGATAGTCGCATGGTAGATGTGTATCACGTTGACTTTGGGACACAGACCTTTTCACTTCCATCTGCAATATTAGCTACAAATACAATGGTTGGGGAAATAGCTTCAGCTTCAGCTTGTGATCATGCCAATCCACAACTTTCAAATCCCAGCCCTTTTCAGACACTTGGGCTGGATTTAGTATTAGAATGTGTTGCTAGATACCAACCTAAGCAACGTTCAATGTTTACCTTTGTGTGTGGACAGTTATTTAGGAGAAAGGAATTTTCTTCACATTTTAAGAATGTGCATGGTGACATTCACGCTGGACTCAACGGATGGATGGAACAGAGGTGTCCTTTAGCTTACTATGGTTGTACCTATTCCCAGCGTAGGTTTTGTCCATCAACACTAGGAGCAAAGATTATACATGACCGCCATTTGAGGTCATTTGGAGTTCAGCCATGTGTGTCTACGGTATTAGCAGAGCCTTCTAGAAACTGTGTACTGGGATTACATAGTGACCATCTAAGTAGTCTTCCATTTGAGGTCCTGCAACATATTGCAGGCTTTCTTGATGGCTTCAGTTTATGCCAGCTCTCCTGTGTATCCAGACTAATGAGGGATGTATGTGGCAGTCTGCTTCAGTCTCGAGGAATGGTTATATTGCAGTGGGGGAAAAAGAAGTATCCAGAAGGAAATTCATCATGGCAGATTAAGGAAAAGGTTAGTTCAATCTTCACCAAATCTACTTATTTAAAGAGTAGGCAATAATGCTGCAGCATTAATACAGTGAATACCTTGCTGAGAAATTGATTATCCTGTAAAGCTAATATCATGATGCATTTTTTTAAAATGTCAGCGGAGAACTAGAATAGAGTTGTTTGCCATAATCACAAATTTATTGTAGATTTCCCAGATCTAGACTCACATGACAAAGGGCATTTGTTTTACACTTCCTTAATTCTCTGTTAACAGCTTCCTTTACATCCGTGTTGCAGTCTTCTGATTTCTGAAACAGTTTCCCCATATGACAATGGAGAAAGAAGACCATCTTGCTTACAGTTACCTTTATTCTTATCAGATTTTTTGGGGGGCGGGGTTGGGGGAGAATGGAGGGTCAGTTGTGGGGCTTGAACTCTGAGCCTGGGTGCTGTCCCTCAGCTCTTCAGCTCAAGGCTAGCACTCTACCACATTGTCACAGCGCCACTTCCAGTTTTCTGATGATTAATTGGAGATAAGAGTCTCACAGATTTTTCTGCCCAGACTGGCTGTGAACTGCGATTCTCAGATCGCAGCCTTCTGAATAGTTAGGATTACAGGCGTGAGCCACCAGTGCCCGGCTTAGTCTTGCCAGTTTTTTTTTTTTTTTTTTTTGGTCCGGACGTGGGGCCTGAACTCTGGGCCTTGGCGCTGTCCCTCAGCTCTTCAGCTCAAGGCTAGCGCTCTACCACTTGAGCCACAGCGCCACTCCGGCTTTTTTCTTTTTGCTTATGTGGTGCTGAGGAATCGAACCCAGGGCCTCAGGCATGCAAGGCAAGCGCTCTACCACTGAGCCATCTTCCCAGCAGTCTTGCCAGTTTTATATGTCAGAATTATATTGTGGATAGCTAGCCTTACTACAGTACAAAGGAGTGACGCCTATAATAAATCTAGCAGACCTGGCTCTACCATTTCCCTCCTGTGATATGCTTAGCTTCTATTAGAAGCCCTATGCAGTGAAAAGTAAAAGGGATTGTAGCCAGGTACCAAGTGGCTTATGCCTATAATCCTAGCTACTCAAGAGGCTGAAATCTGAGTATTGCAGTTCAAAGCTAGTTCAGGCAAGAAAGTCCATGAGACTTTCTTCTCCAGTTAGCCTCTAAACTGGCAGAAGCAGAGCTGTGGCTCAAGTGGTAGAGCACTAGCATTGAGCAAAAACAGCTTAGGGAGAGTAGCCGGGCCCTGCGTTCAGGCCCCATAACTAGCACAAAAGGATTGCAGAGATCTGTGATTACAGGTAGTTTTCATTTTAGAATATGTAGAAAATTTTACATTTTCTTATGTGTAGGCAGTTTTGATAAGCTGAACATTTGGTTGCAAAGTATTCAGAATTCTGATTATTCTTGATAACCTTAGGTTTTATCTTTTATTGTTCTCTCTTCGAGGCCTTGATCAATGAATGAACACACAAGTTATTTTATGAATTTCTTTCCCCAAAAGGGCATCTGGTGGCAGAAATTTCGTTTTGCAAGATGGTTAGTTTTTCCCTTTTTGGGATGACACACTATGAACTCAGTTCTTATTCACTAGTATTAACTTGGAATGAAATATTTTCAGGGAATTTTTAATAATCTCACCTAGCCTCCAAGTTTAAATTAACATCACATATAAATTAGTTAGAACGACCCCTATACTGTGGTCATTTTCTGTACAAAATAGACAAGCATTTACTGGATATCTCTAGTTGGTTATATAATAGTTTCCTCAATCTCAAAATGTCCAATTTACTCCTCTACCCACTTAATCTCAGGAAGGGCTGTTATTGTCTAACAAGCTGTCTACACCAGCGGTCTGTGATTGTTTTTTGCTCACTTTATTTCTATATCTAGGTAATTAAGTCCTTTTCATTCTTGCTGTTTTCATATCTGCCAGGTTTTCATTTGTCTCCCTACCCTTTTCCTAGTTCACTCTCATCTTTGATTCTCTTCTGGAGCACTACTACAGCTTCCTTCTGAGTCTCTACTTCCAGTGGACTTCTCTCCAACTCTATACAAGAATTTAGAATTATATATATAATGTTTCTTAGACACGGTTCTTACGCTATCAGTTAATGTTTATAGCTTTGTTAGTATTCCTCCATCGACCTTTTGGATTAGAGGCTGTCTTTTTAACAGAAGTGTGTTCAACTTTTTATAATCTTATTCATACTTAACCTTCTGCCGTTTTTTCCTTTTACTTTATATCCCTGCCACACTGACTTGTTTTTCTCATGTTTTCTTTCTTCTTGCAAGGTTTTCTTAGTACCCACATTTGAACACCTATAGCATACCAGTGTATCTTAGCACCAATCCTCCTTGGATACCAAGGGATGATAATATTCAGTGTTCTCTATCTAGACATCATTCTATTAGCTGGGATGTGTAGGTTTTTCTTGCCCTGTTCATAATTGTTACCTAGGGCTTTCTTAGTCTTCATTCATGCTTGTTATGTATGTCTAGGAAGCATTATGTTTCCATTCATAAAGATGATAAGGGGCCATATACCATTGATGGACTAGGGAGATAGTGTTTCAGGAGTTGCTGACTCAGCGAGGGGAAATAGCTCACATGTTTCCAGTAGACACATGAACAGGGATGACAGATGAGTCCTTTATCTTAAAAGCAATTGCATAGCCTACAATAAGATCCATTTTTGCATAATCTTACTCTTTAATTGTAAACTTTTAGGGACATTTTGAATAAATTGAAGCAACTGGTTTTTAAAAAATATTTTTAGTAGCTTCAGTACTTGTGAGTTGTGTTTGAATAAGCTTAAGTATTTTTTAGAATACTTTGTATGGAGTAACAGGTATTAATGAAAACTCTAGGGAGAAAAAATATTTGTCAGTATCTCCAGGTTATGAATAGCTTAACATAGGTACTTTCACATAAAAATAATTGTATACAGTATATGTTATTTTAGAAAGTAGCTCTGCATTCATGAAGTTACATTTGTTTTATGTTTAATAAGCCACATTGGGTATGAGTTTTTAATGTTGGCTTTTACTTGTTGTATGTGTGTGTGTGTGTGTGTGTGTGTGTGTGTGTGTGTGTGTGTGTGTGTGTGTGTGTGTGTGTGTGTGTGTGTGTGTGTTAGTCGTGGGGCTTGAACTCTGGGCCCAAGCGCGGTCCCTCAGTTCTTCAGCTCAAAGTGAGCGCTCTACCATTTGAGCCACAGTGCCACTTCTGGTTTTCTGGTGGTTTATTGGACATAAGAGTCTCATGGGCTTTCCTGCCCAGGCTGGCTTTGAATCATGATCCTCAGCTCTCAGCCTCCTAAGTAGCTAGGATTACAGGTGTGAGCCACTGGCGCCTGGCTTACTTATTTTTTTATGTATTAGATTTATTTATTGTAATCACTATCCCATAGAAGTGTCAATTTGACCAAGACTTACATCCAGATTTTCAAGTAGCTAACTACTTGAAATACTAGGTGTTCTTCTTAACAGTAGAAAAATATATGTATAATTAGAGCCAGAAGTGTGTTTTGGTTTTCTGTAAATTGACTTGTTTAATTCTGAAGTGGAATTTTCTTCTAGGTATGGCGATTCAGTACTGCATTTTGTTCTGTTGATGAGTGGAAATTTGCTGACATCCTGAGCATGGCTGACCACTTGAAGAAATGCAGTTACAATGTGGTAGAGAAACGGGAGGAAGCAATCCCATTGCCCTGTATGTGTGTGACTCGAGAGCTCACTAAAGAAGGACGTTCACTACGCTCAGTTTTAAAACCTGTACTGTAAGAACTGTACCTTCATGTGCACATACACACATCCAGGCACCTAATTTCTTTGTAATATGTGACACTTTTATTAATGTATTAAAGATTACAACTAGCAAAATTTATTGTCACTGTGTATATAAATGTTTTGAAGTGACATATATTTTTATAAAGTACTGTTTAGTTTGAAAAAAAGTTGCCTTAACGTTTGAAATGTGTGAAATTTTTGGAACTTGCTGGACAGGGTGATCTAATCTTTACATAAATTTCAGAATTAGTTTTTTTTAATTGTGTGCATATTTTGGTTCTTAAACTTTTTGCTTCTTAAACTAACAAGATCCTGACCAAACAACTTATTCCACATATTTTCTATGGGTTGAAGCACAGGTTAATCGAAAAGCAAAATTTTGATTAAAATCTGTGGCAGAAGAATAACTTTCAATTGCTTAAGCGTAAGATCATTACATAGTTTTTATTTTCCAGATTTCTCCTTTGACAATCAGTGATGCATAGGGATCTCTATTATACTGAAATATGCTTAAAATCATGACTAATGTTTGGCAAATGTTTTGAAATGGTCATATTTAAAATAATCCACAAAGGTGTTTTCATCTTAGGCTCTTACAACTCCTACAAGGAAAGTGATTCATACGCAGCTTTTTATTAGATATCATATCCAAAGACTCTTGGCAGTGTTTTACACAATCTTTCTTTTTGCTTTAACCCATATATGTATATGGGAGGTAAAAGCAAAAACAAAAAACAAGCCTGTAAATTTAATTTGAAACTCTTCATGGTATTATGTATTTGCTAGATAATTTTAATGCTTGAAAAAATATGCCTAAGTTTGAATTGGGCGTATATGAATACATTTTAAATATTCAGAATGCAAAGGGCTCAACTAGTTTGTTCATGAGCATTTGGCAAGTTTGGCTTTTGATGCTTATAAAAATATAACTACATTATTTTAAGACATTTTAAAATGGGAAGTTTAATAGCTTCTTTATAATGTAACAATCAAACAGGTACATGTCTTGGTTGACAATCTCTTTGAGACATTTCCAAGCTAATTTCTGATATATTTCTAGTGGAAAGTAAGAGTTTTATCTTTGTATGAAGATCATGGTATAATGGAAGAATATTCACAGGCCTATTCTTGGAAGCTTTCAAAATGATTTGTCTATAATTAACTTGATGTAGTGACCTTTAAAAAATGAATGTACATGTTATATCAGTATTTAGAAATAAGTTGCAAAGAGGAGAATTTATACCTAAATAATTGGTCCTCGGTAAATTCTGGCATTTGGTAATATAAAGTGATGACAAACTACATTGTTTTTGAATGTCAGAGCTCAATTGTTATCCTTCCTTTCTACATTGTTCCTGAGGGTTTATAGTTCCTGGTTTATGATTCCCATATATGGCAATCAGGCTGAGCAGAGACGTTCCTTGGGCATTAGAAAATTCTGAACTGCTTAAGATTTGTTTTGGTTGGATCAGTCCTTACTACAGTTGAAAAATGTAGCAGTAAAGACTAATCAATTGTTTTGCCTCATTTGTCATTTTCCTTTTAGAATACTGATTTGTCAATGCTTAAGCTTTCTTTTCAATTGTGAGATTAATTTAATTTGAAAAAAATCCATTGCTGTTAAGAAGCCAAAAATAAGATCTCAGATACTTTAGAATAGAACTCTGCCTTACAGTTTTGCTGAAGAACGTGTCCATAATTAGGATAGCACAGTGTTTATGTTTGTTTTATGGCTGTGGTTTTCAAGTCCATGAGTTCTAAATTTAGGCTTCTTGTTTCCACACCAGATCATGAGATATTTAACATTGTTTTTCACATCATATTTCTTTTGCACATCTTTCACTGTTTTTTTGTTATGCCACCATACTGTTTTGTTAGAATGTGTTCATTTTGCAACATGTGTTCAAGTTCTAATAAAATTGATGTTTTTCCTTTATATGGCTCATTAACTTACAAAGGAAAACTTTCATTTAAATAAAATCATAATACTTGTTTAACAAATTCCAGATGCACTCATATTGTTTCTTTAATTTTGACCTGTGTATTCCAGGAGTAGCTGGTTGATGTTGATCATTTCTCACTTTGTTTTTACTGTTGAACTGTTTTTCTTTAAGTATGAAAAGCTTAGTTTTCATACTTAGTTTTCTCTGCTTCCTCGGTGTCTTAGTATTTCCATCTAGAGGTATTGAAGGACTAGAGACTTCCTGGCATGATTATTTCTTTAAAACCTGTAATGAGAACCTTGTGTTTGCCCTCTTAAGCACGAAAAGGTTTGTATGTTGGCCTGGTAGATTGTAAATTGAGAAGTCTGTTGATCTCTTAATCTTTGTCAAACAGCAAGATAAAGGGCAAGCTTCAGAATGGAGCACAAGATATTCTCTCATTCTCTGTCTCTCCTTCCCATTCCCCCTCAGCTCTTTGTATTTGAGATGGGAACAAGCAATCTATTTTAACAAGTTATCTAGCGATTTTCATGCACAACAAAATAGAGATCTTATAGCAAAGCCTGGAACATGCCAGGTCTTCTGATATTGGAATGGGTGTCTGTTTGTATGTACATATTTACAATCTGAAAAGTAGTGGTAATTTATGAATAGTGTGGTTAAATTATGTTATCTCAGTCTTACAGTCATGTAACAAAATGGTAGTGACTGCTATCTTAATGTCACTAGCATTTTAATGGTGCTTCTTTGCAGTGCTGATTTTAGTTGAGTTAGCCTAGTCATCATCTCTTTCTCTTTTGCTTAGTAGTTTCAGATTTTTAAGGAAAGCAAGTTAGAAAGAGAAATATTGGACCCAATTTTGATTGGATTCTACAAAAGTACTTGTATAAGGGTGTTTTCAACCCTATCAGTAAGAGAGAGTTTCTGGTTTGTGAGTAGCATAGAATCTTTTCTTGGTCTTGGACCTTGTTCTGCATATCCCATCCATGTTATTGCTGTTACTATCTGTGATCTTAGTAATATTGAAGGTAATGGAGTTTGCAACAAACTTCTATACCCATTGAATGTTTGGTGGTTTGTATTACTACATTGATAACAGGTATGACATGTACAGATTTGATGCCTTTTGAGGTCTTTGAATGCAAAGCACAAGAAATCTTGTATGTTGCATTCTGAAAAGAAACCTAAAAAGGAATGGATTTTCTCTTCTCAGTTTTCTTTGGAGTACATTCATTCCATGTATAATACATCACATTGAGTGATGGTGTTATTGGCAGAGGTGTTTAGTAGTACAGTAGAGAGAAAACAGTTGACTCTATATTCTGCACAAGTTTGTTTGCTTGTTTTTGTCAGTTATGAGGCTTGAACTCAGAGCCTGGGTACTGGGCCTGAGCTCTTTTTTGCTCAAGGCTAACACTCTACTACTTTGAGCCACAGCTCCACTTCCAGTTTTTGAATGATTAATTGGACATAGGAGTCTTAACAGGGGCTTTTCTGCCCAGGCTGGCTTTGAGCCATAATCCTCAGATCTCAGCTTCCTGAGTAGCTCAGATCACAGGCCTGAGCCATCAGCACCTGGCTCTGCACAAGGCTTTTTGATGGAGAGAATTTTTATGACATATTTCAGTTTATTCTGCTAAGTGATCTTAACATGCTCATGAGTTTTAGGAAGTCAGAGTAGGTGAATTATTTATACCTTTAAAGTGTATCAACTCATTACTGATGCACTTTATTATGTTTAAAATAATTTACCAACGAAGAAGCTCATAGGAGGCAGGTCTAGAAAGGTCATTAATTCAAGGCTAGCCTGGGTAAGTGTAATCAAGACGCATCTCAAAAACAACTGGAACAAACGGACTGGGAAACATAGCTCAAATGTTGAAGCACTTGCTTATTAAGGCCCTGGGTACAATGCTCAGTACTATAAAATAATAATTTACTGATGTGTTTTGTCACTGATTTTCAAACCTGATTTCTAGAAAAATAGTTTGAGTTACTTCGAATGAAATCTTATATAAATGAAAGGAGACACAAGGAAGGTTGGGTTTTTTTTGGAAGTCACCTTTTATTAGAAAGGTCAAAGTAAATTCAGAAAATAATACCTTCCAACTTCCCATGTAACCTGACATGGCTCACTTTCCCACTTTACAAATGCAGAAAGAGAAGGGACATTTAGATTAAGAAAAAGCAAATAAATATCATTGCCTAGAATTGTGTTTGCTACTGTTTGGAAGAGAATTTAGGGATTATACCAAAAAGAAAGCTAACCAAGTTTGGTATGTTCTGGCCAACAGATTTTCAGATTTATTACAGAGATAAAGGCCCTCTTCTTACCTTAGAACATTTCAAAAGTGACACTTTGTATTTAGCTTACTGGATAATCCAACACATATAGAGAGGGACTTTTAATTAATTACAAAGAAGTGGGTTACATGGAAAGTTCGTGAACATGCTTCGTAGAAATAAGAATAAAACTCATTGATTCAAAGCCTTCTGAGATAACAATTTTAGATTTAGTGACTTCTTTCAAAGTGTCAGCAAAAACAAATTTGTAATTTGAGAAATTTGAAACACAGCATTTCTGATTTAATCATGTTATTTATCTAAAGTAAGCTGTAGAAATTAAAATGGTGGTAAATACTACCCAGTGGTTTATCATGTCAACAGTCATTATCAATTCAATTAATGAGAAAATTATGACCTGACTTAAGTAACTACGGATAACTCACCATTATTTAGTTAAATAAGGGATCTGATATATGGGGAGAACAGCATTGATTCCCTACAATAGTAATCGTTTTGTGAAAACAGCTGTGACATGACATGAAATTGCCTTGAATGGTTAATAATTTGGTGAACATGAATTCTATAGACTTTTAATTTTTCATTTAAAGTGTTAAATCTGTTGTTGAGACACTCATCGTGAAACACTAGTTAGTACTGCGAATGACATGCATTCTGAAAGGACTCGGGTGATTCACACCTGCCTCCCGCACATCTCCTTCCCCAGTAGTTTCTGATGGATCTTTTCTTTATACATGATTCATACCAGCATCTGTCTTCAATGCAAAGGGATGTAATATTTGTTTAAAAAATACTAAGTGTATAATGCTAGACCATAAAGGCCATATACTTTATAATTCCATTTATATGAAATAACCAGAGTAAGCAAGTCCATAGAAATAAATCAGATGAGTGGTTGGCAAGGGTGAACAGTATGACTATAGAATGGTTATAGGGTTTTCTTTCAGAGTGATGCAAATGTTTCAGAACAAGTTAGTAGTGTTGGTTGCATAGTATTGTGAATGTAAATGTACTTAGTTGTACATTTTTGTGATGGTAAAGTTTTACATGTATTTTTGCCACAGTTGTTTTTTTTAAAGGATGTGGTATTTGAGGTCATAAATGACCAAATCTGAAAAGTATAATGGTCTCAAGGTTTGTGAAATGCTCAAGCTGTGCTTTAAAATTCATGTATAGCATTAGTAATGTAGCAGGTTTGTTCAATAATAAAAATCGGTGAATCTCGTCACTGAAGTACCAAGGACAGCAGCAGGAGCGGAGCTGCAGTTCTTCAGCATTTCCTATCATTGAGAGATTCTGACTGTGTTGCTGGCTTCTGTCAATGATCATTTTCTACCTTTCACATTTTATTACCATTCCTTGGGGTACATTGCAGTTGGACTTAAAAGATCTGTTTTAGAAAATACTTTGAAACAGTTTGTATAATTTTCAGTACTGTTTTTTTTACAGTTTTATACTTTCTGTTTATTTTATAGAGCAAATGCAATTATGTATTAGACAAAACTAAATAAATTTAACTGGGGCACATATAAATCTTTTTTATTCTTTGGTACTGTCTAGTGGATATGAGGTACCTGAAATTAATAGGGGCCTTAACGATCATTTCTAATGATCATTTGTTTTCTCAGATTTGTTGAAATTGACACTGAGATCAGTGGGTTCATCCACAAACATTTATTGAACACTCATTCCAGATGCTGTGTAGGCTTTACTCTCTCTGGAATGATGATTCAATGCTAAAATTTCATAGGTAATGTATTGTTTTTCTATCTAGTAATTATGCTAGACATGGACAAATGGACAAGCTTTAAAGGAGCAAAGCCTTTAAACAGAGGTTCACTTTGAATGTTTCCTTCACATATTTCTCCAAATTTAAATACTCAAGATCACAAAGAAACTACTTAAGGAATACATTTTGTAATGTTCCTGACTTTGGGGTGATTATATTCAAATATCTTTAAACCAATTATTTTCTAGAGTGTTTTAAGAAGCTAACTGCAAAACTGCTGATTCAAATCAATATTTAAAAATAGTCCAATTTCTTTGAAATAATGGCCTGTCGTATAATTGGGGGTATACATGCCAGTTCAATGGGTGTGCGTTCTGAGGAGAACAATGATACATGTAATTGAATGCGCTCAACACAATAGGCTGATACTATGAGCTAAACCATCAGGGTAAACACAAGACAAGAAGAGACTTACACTACATAGCTTTACCTACATAGTGCAACAGGCTCCAAAGCAAAGTGAATAAGGAGGTAAATAAGGCCTTATCATGTTTTTTCATGTTAATGATTCCTTACTTAATTTTATGACACTTCAGCAGTAATTAAGATATAGCATATTTGACCAAAATTCCATCAATCATCCATCTTTCATCTTCTTACATGCTACATCTTTGCTGTGTTATACTTCTCACCATTTTCTTTAAATTTTATATCTTTTGATGTTTCTAGGCCTTTTGATTATACCATTTCTTTTGCCTAAAGTGTTCTCCCCCCAATTTGCCTCATTTATTGGTAAATATCCAATCCCTTTTCATCTTTTCTTTCCAGATCATTCTAAATTAACGAATTACCATCTCAAATCCCATGTTTTATCTTTTAATACTCATCCCCCCAGCATTAATAAGACTCACTACCACTATCTGTTCACTGGTAGTGATTATAAGCTGTTGGCCCCTCTAG